AGCCTCTTCCACCTAAGTTTCAGCTTTTCTGGCCCTTTGGTTCTTGAGAAGAAGATTTTTCTTATATATTTCTATGGAAAACTTTGATTCCCTATTGTGGCCCCGCCCTATCCCCGGGGGTCATGATTTGAACAATTTAGAATTAACACTACCCCAGGATGCTTCCACATAAGTTTCAGCTTTTCTGGATCAGTGGTTCTTTAGGAGAAAATGTTTACATGACCCCACCCTATTTTAGTCATTTCTTGAAAATCTCCCCTTGTGAGAGGACCTGGCCCTTCATTTTTATAATTTAAATTTCCCTCAACCTAAGCTAGGATGCTTTGTACCAAGTTTGGTTAAAATTTGCCCAGTGGTTCTTGAGAAGAAAATGTAAAAGTTTACAGACGGACAGCTAGACGGACGGACGGACGGACGACGGACAAAATGTGATCAGAAAAGATCATTTCAGCATTCGGCTCAGGTGAGCTAAAAAGTAGAATTTATTTGAAAAAAAAAATTAATCAGCTTCGTAATCCTCTTCTAAAAATCAACCGATAATTTTTTTTAGAATATGCACAGAAGAAAGAGGTATGACAAATGTTGGCAATTAACAAAATTATTAAAATAATAATAATTATTTTTTAAAATTCCTATGAACAATATAGTTTTACACAAAGTTTTAAATTTGAATTTGTCCAATTTGTTGATTTATTATTTTGAGCCGTGAGAAGGAATAAAAATGAAAATACAGCTGTTTACAGGCATATTAATAAAGATTTGAATATTTGTTATTAATCAAAACTATCCATATAAATTGCTTAGCCGAGATATTAAAGAAAGTGAAATGATCAATTCAATTTGATAATTCTTTTGAAGGACCAAAAAATTATATAATATACAGACTTTTAGTGTACATTTGAATTTTAACAAACTTAATGACTTTTTCTGATCACATTTTGTCCGACGTCCGTCCGTCCGTCTAACTGTCCGTCTGTAAACTTTTACATTTTCTTCTCAAGAACCACTGGGCCAATTTTAACCAAACTTGGTACAATTAATAAAATATACACTGTAAGTAAAGATGGATTAGACAACAACTTTCTTTGGCACACGTTTTATTTGATATTAGTATTGCATGAAAAGTATGAGTTAATTCCCAGTATCTGTCCATATACCTATTATGCAAGACTCCTTTAATTTTTAATGATTGTCATACACCATTTACTTTTTCAAACATTTAATTGTTTGAAAAGTAATACAATGTACATTTCTTAAAACTTTATTATCTGCGAGACTGATTGATTACATATTGTTTAACGTCCCTCATGCTAACCGCTTTTCAGTACTTTGATTCCCTCAAGCTGGGACACATATTCTCTGAATTAGAATTTAAAACGGCAGTTTCTGAAGTGTAGAGATAATGTTATATCATAGGTCCTCAGAATTCTTTATTTTAATATGTAAATTGAGCTTCAATATCCTTCTTTCTTTTTTTTTTTGCTATCCTATTTAATGAATTATTAATTTAGCTGCACTTAGCAAATTTGAAATTTACGTGTACAATGACACTGTGTCTTCAGTTTAAAATGTCTGCTATGTAATTCACGTTTCTGTTACGACATCTATTAGGTTTCTCTTTTTATTTAATATACTGTCAACCATGATTCAAACGGAATTTTTTTTTATAAGTGACGCCATTTAAAGCAATCATTGATTTTCCCTTTTGTCCGGGAGAAGGTGTAAGTCATTGCCAGAAAAAGGCTCATCGATAAAAATATCACCAGGAAATAAAATATTTTTGAGAATCTTTGATTAACGGGGGTGGGGGTGGGGAGGGGGGGGGGTAGTTCTTATATTTTCCTTTGATTTCTTCTGTCAGTTTTATTTAATATCCAAACGGTCTATATACACAGATATTTTTCAAATAAATGTACGTGTTGCAGTAATATTTTCTTTCCATAGAAGATTGCACGTTTACATGTAAATGTATTGGCTTTTAGAATTTATGTTTTTTTTTTTTTTACATTCTAAAATCCTACTATATTAAGCCGTATTTTAAAATATTTTTTGAACACCTTGAAAGTACGTCCTCATTTCATTGTTTCGGGGAAATCAAATGAATTATCTTTTATATAATTCCATGAACCATACTTTAGCGATGCTAACAGGAAATGTCGCGGAGAGTAATAGATTAATATTTATGTAAAAAACAAAGTTCACATTGGTCCATTTTTGGCCCTGTGAATTTCTGAAAAATCAGAACTACTCAGTTTTATTGAAAATATATAATGAAAGAACTGTTTCAGAAGATTCTAATCCATGAAAAAGTTTTTTAATCACGGGGTGGGCTCATATTTTTATCAAAAGTTGAAGATGCTAAATTTCACCCATTTTCTTAAAAAATCAAGAACATTGCAGTTTCGTCACACCTGAGTTTCCAAACCTGGACTCTCAGAGGAAAATGTTTTATAGGAAATGAAAGCTCTTAGTCTCTACTTTATGCTGATGTTTGAAGTGGGACGATAGGACTTGGTCAGTTAATTGGTATATTGACAGGGCCATTTTATGGAGTTAGTAAACCTACCTCTTTGGCATTGAAATTGAATTACACGACACTTATCCCTGTCGCCCTTTTAAAATTAAAAGATGTTGCAATGTATGGACTCTCGGCGACATTTCTTGACGCATTGCATTAAAAAGAATGCTTTTGGAACACGAGCATTTATTTATAGAATAGTTTTCCGTAGACCCAGATTAACAAGAGTAATTTCCCGTTGGCCGCCATATAGGGGTTCCTTTATTTCATGTTTTATATTCCATTAAGATTTCCCCCAAAATATTTCTGCTAAACCCTCTTATTTTTGGTAAAATTACCATGTTGACCACCAAGATGGCGACCAACGGGAAATATCTCTTGTTTATTTGGGTTTACTGAAAACTATCTATATTTGAAGACCGTCTGGCTGCTGTATATTCTCCCTTTCCTCTGCACAGGCACATATTTCTCTTATATATATACTCATCTTTCAATGTTATATTTACCTAAACGATTGCCTATGGCCTTTGTGAGATTTACTGAAATACGAGTTAGATATCGGAATTCATCCCCCCCCCAACAGAAAACAAGCCAGCATAAGCTTTCTTGTTCTTGCAATGTACTTAATATCAACACTGCATATGAAAAATAGCACATGAATTTATCGAAAGAAATAATTGTATTGCTAAATCAAAAGCCTGAAAACGCAAATCAAACACAATTTAATATCATTTAAAATCAATTACTGAGCTTTTTTACAGTAATCAGTCATAAAGCGAGATTTCACATAAAATTGTATCTTGAAAAAACAAAAAAAAGATGTGCCTGTGAAACACAGATGTTCCTGTACATCAGCTTGATTATGGCAAGGGGGTTGAGATTTCTCAGAAGCAAGTCAAACCCCAAAGATCAACGTTTTTGGAAGCCAAGGGAAGGTCTTCTCACAAGGAACACACCTGCGAAATATGTATATCAAACTCTAAGGTCAAGGTCAAATATTATAAATTTGATACCTATCTAAAGGCCTTATCACAACAAATACACATGTGAAGTATGAAACCCTAACACCGACTGTTTAAAAGTTATAGCCAAGGTTCAAGTGTGTTTTTTTTGTAAAAGTGGGTCAAAATTCAAGGTCAAGTAGTCAAATTTGTCGGTACCCCCAAAAAGGTTTTGTTAAAAAGAATACATATGTGAAATATGAAAGTCATAGCTTTACCAACTCAAAAGTTATGAGCAATGTAAAAGTTTTTGAGAAATAAAAAACAAACAGACAGACAGACGCACAAGACAAAAACTGTATACTCCCGAATCGTCAATATCGGGTATAATAATAATGCAGTTAAGGTTATGAATGACGAATAAATAAACAAGAGTCCCACAGACCTTTTAGGTCACCTGAGTATCATGAACAAGTTTTAGCAATTAAATTTGGTTCGTGTTTTATTCCAAAAGCCATGAAATTCACAATTTTGAAAAAGACACCGTTGCTTAATTATACACTTAGCATGCTAACTTTAGTTACTTAATACCCCGAGGTAGATCAGAGTAGCAAAGAGAAAATGAATTTCCACATTATAACCAGTTGTGCACCCCACCCCACAAGAACAACCGACCCTTGGGCGACATCTTTCAAAATTGTGGAAATTTGATTTCATCATAAAATTTGATTAGTGCCATAGAGCAGATTTTAAAGCATTAATTTATTTTTGAACAAAGTATCCCCCGAAGTCCCTGACCCAGGGGCCCTAAATTAACCATTTTGAAAGAGGCATGTTTTTTCATTATAAATACGTAATAAGATCATTGGCATATGAACCAGGGGCAAATGAAAAGATTTTCAAAGAATACATGTACTTTCACCATATAATAAGAGCCCCGCCCTAACACCAGAACATCTGACCAAGGGGCCCTGAAATTCACAATAGGGAAGAAGCATTCTTCCTCATCATTACTATATACTTAGTTTATTGATTTAATACCCAATAGTGAAATTCAAAATTTGTGTCCCCCTTCACCAATGGATGTTTTGTGCAAAAGTTGGTTGAAATTAGTTGAGCAGTTGTAGAAAAGAAACTGAAAATGTTCAAATATTAACGCACGACGACAGGTGAAAACGGATAGCAATAGGTCACCTGAGTTTAGTCAGGTAACCTAAAAAGTGGAAAACTGTTAGATTACGATGTGCTATTTCAAATCTATACAAGCTGTTCTGTCAGTTCTTTTCATTCAAACATAAGAATGAAACATATGGAGATACCAAACATTATTCAAGCTCAAAATTTCATAAAACGCTACAAAATAGGATCGGATCAAACACGGATCTCCGAAACATCAGAGGTGGGATCAGGTACCACGAAGGAGTGAGCATCTTCTGCCAACCAGTCACGGCTGCTGTGTGCTCCTTGTCATGATCGAGAAATAACAGAAATATCCATCGTCAATTCAGTGTACAGAGAATGGACTAACAATAAGAATGAAAAACGTCATTCCATATTTTACTTAATGACAATATGTATTTGTTGACAAAGTCACAAGACTAGCTGATGATATTCTTGTTTCATCTACTTGTTTGTCAAAAATGTACATCATTTAGTAATTGTTATACGTAGAGCATGTTTTTGCGTATCGAATCAAACGAGATAAATAAACTACAGAAGCATGTAATAAGCTAAAATATTTTTGAAATGACTTATGTAAAATGTTTGAAAAAGTTTTCATTGTTCTGTGACCTCAAGATACTTGAACACTGTAATTATGTTACTTTCATACTCTCCTAGATAGAGGTTGTGTTTATCGTCAACACAGAGAGCAAAGGGAGGACGCATGTTATATTGTTTTGGCAGAAGTATTGACAGTAACCTTCCTTCCTTACTTAGCAGATGAATACTGGAGGAGAAATTATCACACACTAAAACGTATCCTAGTACGTCAGTGCAGATACGTTGAGGACGGAAGCTAGACTGAGAAGGCAGACCTGTGTAGTTAAATCGATGGTCTCCTGATTTATCCACCACCACTGCCATACATTTGTCAGAAGTCCAAATGTCCCCATTTTTGTTCTCCGTAATGTCATATGGCACTTGAAACAATTGTTGTCCGTTATTGTCCTGTTCAATGTCCAGCAGCTTTTTCCCCTTCTTGTCGTAGCGAATCACTTTACCTATACTTGTTTCTGTGTGTGGTATTGTGCAATATATCCCTACCAGTATGTCGCCATTGATGCGGGAGGAGTGTATACATTCCACATTCTCTGTTGATGTTATAAGCGTTGTGATAGTTCCATCCGACTTAAACTTCTTGACATTTTCTCCACAAGTAAACAAAAGGTTTCCATTTCCTGTTATGGTGTGACTGATACTATATTGAATGACAGAACGTTGTCGAAGGTGTCCCTTGAAATCCACTTGTAAAAGCTCTTCTTCTCCATCACTCACCCAGAGTTTGTCTGGTGAAGCTAGCGAAATTTTGCAGATATTCTCAATACCAGGTACAGAAATGTGAGAAGTCTGCAAGATGGACGGAAGTATTGTCACCAGCAAAATGGGGTCTTTAATAAATAAAAAATAGAAATAAAATACAATATAACAAAATGATAAACATTCTACCATTAAAAATTATATAACAGATATTGAATTTATTTTGTGAAAATTATGAAATTGTAATTTATTTTTATCATATTCGCCAAGAATACATTATATAAAACAATTATACAGCTTTATTCCGTTAACTAAAATCTTTTTTCAAGGAACTTTTGATACGAAAGAAGAAAAAAACGTCATGTAAACTGTATACTTCGTCATCAGCTTTAGAGAATGGTGATATGGATTCGAAAAGCCACTACAGAGTGATGATTCTTAAACTCAGACCACGAAGTTACGTGACTATGTAAATTCAGCAGTAATACACAGTTGGGTATAATTATATTAAATGAAGATATCTGTAAATTATCTTATTCTGAAGAAAAAACAGTCGATTTTATTTCTCGATTTCCGTATTCAGTTTTACACAGTATTATTATTTTTTTATGTTAAGGTAGGTCACTCGTGAATTTTGTTATATCAAGAATTTTTTAAGAATATATTCTGGTTTGGGACTCATATAGTATGATTCAAAATCGCAGAGAAAATGGGGGGTGGGATGTTTATCTAACTACATGTACAAATGAGTTGACTTATTTTCCATTAAATTTTAAGTCTTTAATTATCAATTTTAACCTTTATTATATGTAACCATGGTATTAAATAAAATCTTATTTTAGGTTAAACAGTTTAAATAATATTTATCATTGAAAATAAAAACAATGCAAATTAATTTGCGTAAAGTATTGTGTAACCTTTTTGCACCAAAATAGTAATATAATTGGGGTATTAAAAAATTTAAATAGGCAATATAGTCACTAATATCCCTGGCGTTTTAAATTTCGTGGTTTTCAATGCAACTTTTCACATATATTACTACTCAACAATTCTTCAACCACGAAATTAAACCCCAAGAACCAATATATTTTCCTCAACCCACGAAAATTTGACCCTTGAAAATATGTGATTTTCTTGTATCAAATTTTTAACGATTGATTTAAGTGCTAATCAGTCACAAGTATCGAGTAGTTTAAAATGATGAAAAAAAGTTGGAGTCAGTGATGTAATTTTTGAAATATTGTTTCCAATATGCAAATTTAAGGGCAAAAAAAAAATGAAAAAAAATTCTCTTGATTTCTTTAACATATCTTCATTTCTCAACAAAATTTGTTGAGAGAAAGTATAAAATCTGTTCTAAAAATATTAACTGAGACCTATATTTAATATAATAAGATTTATTTCCTTTTTGAAATAAATCCAATTATTATAGCGATGGTTAATACTATGTCTCAGATCCACGCCATGGATTTGTGCGCGTAATGCCCTGCCATACATGACGTTATTGTTGTTAAATTTTGACGTCACAATATTTGTTACAGTTGGATTGAGAGGTGGGTGTTGTTTGTCTCTTAGCTTAAAAATGCTAGGGCCTTTAATAGAAGATTTTGTGATGCTATGTGTGGAATAAAATACCCAAGTCATTTCATTAGGGTAACAAAGGGAATGAAATCTGACTTTCTTGTGTGGTTAGATTTCATACACAGGTTTAATGGCAGTTTAAATTTCATGACTGTTAATTGGTTGTCTAATGACCAACTTCATCTCTACACTGATAGTACAGGCAATCAGCATTTAGGTTGCGGCGTTTACCTTCATGGGCAATGGGCATATTTTGGTTGGCCAGATAGCTGGAAGAATCCAGACATTATGTTAGACATAACATTTTTAGAGTTAGTGCCAATTGTCCTTGCAATTTTCTTATTTAAGAATGAATTTCTCGACAAAAAAATAATGCTGCATACTGACAACAAAGCATTACTTTCCATTTTAAACAAAAAATCATCAAAATCTCCTCGAGTTATGGAATTGGTTCGGCCATTGGTTTTACATTCCATGGTAAACAATTTTTACTTTAAAGCTTGTCATATAGATGGTTATGATAATGCTATAGCGGATTCTATTTCTCGCAAACAGTGGACCAGGTTTCGAGTTCTTGCCCCAACCTCCAATCAAGATCCGACACCTATTCCACAAGATTTTGTAAAACTGATCTTGGAACTGAAATTAAACGCTTGACACTTAATTCGGTATCAGTAAATACAAGACAAACATATTCCACAAGTCTAAAAAGCTTTGAGCAATTCAGAATTTTGTATGAACTTTGTACTGTTTGGCCCCCACCTGTTCCACACATTTGTATGTTTATTGCTCATTTATCCCTGACAGGTTTAGCCCATTCTACTATTTCATCCTATATATCAGGAATAAGTTTCAAATGCAAAATATTGGGTTTCTGTGACAATACAAAAAAATTTCTAATTAGAAAATTATTGGAAGGAATCAAAAGATCAAACCATTCCAAAGATTGTAGACTTCCTATTACAAAACACATTCTTGAGAAACTTATAACAGTTTGTTCATCGAATTTCGAGTCCATCCTTTTTTCAACGGCATTTTCGGTAGCCTATCATGCTTTTCTTAGAATCGGTGAATTTACCTTTAGTAGTTCAAATCAAGCAAATCAAATTATTTCTATTGAACATGTAAAATTTAGAGAAAATGAAACATCTGGGGAAAATTTCGTAGAGCTTATAGTTCCTTTCTCAAAAACTGACCAACTTGGGAAAGGAACATCCGTTTGTTTGAATCAATCAAAGAATTCTATCTGTCCAGTTGACTGGTTGAAAGGGTACATCACCATGAGGCCGAAATTTGACGGTCAATTATTTAAACATATGGATGGTAGTCCTCTAACAAGGTTTCAATTCTGTTCAGTATTAAATAAGTGTCTTGAAATAGCCGGTCTTCCAAACTCCAAGTACAAATCTCACTCATTCCGTATTGGTGCTGCGTCAGATAGTTTTTCTTCCGGTCAGTCAGAAACAAAAATTAAAAAACAAGGTAGATGGAGTTCAGATGCCTTCAAACGGTATATTAGGATTTAGTATGTTCTTGATTGATTTTTTCATATTTTTATATAGGAGATGAAAAGGTTATTTGGATTGTTGGTTCTTCAATTATTAAATGGGCATTCTACTATGCAAGAAAATCCTTTGATGGTGTGGATTAAGGTTTAAAACGAAGAAAATACAGAATTTTTTGGCAGGGAAAGGGAGGTATGAAATGGTTTGACCTTATTCCAAAAATAAAACTTTCGTTACGTTATGAATCACCTCCAGAAATTTTAATTATTCATTGTGGAGGGAATGACATAGGTAAAATTCCATTGCTGCAACTACGGTCCAATATGTGTTCAACTCTCAAAAAACTTGAGGAGCTACTACCCAACACAACAATTGGTTGGTCAAATATTTTGCCAAGAATTTCATGGCGTTTTAGTTCAAACTCAAAATCTCAAAATCTTGCTACTGTTAGACTCAATAATTTTTTGAATCACTTAGTTACTGTCAATGGTGGATTCTTTATCAAATACCCAGAGATTACTTGGGATTCAAATGAAATATTTAGTAGTGATGGAGTTCACCTGTCGTACATCGGTAATTGTTTCTTGCTATATAACTTACAAAGGGCTTTGCAAGAATATGTTTTTCTATAAAAGGTTAAATACGTAGTTTAAGCTTCAAGATGTGGTCACACCTACATGTATATATTTTGCGTCTCTCATTCCACCTAACTTCGTTGGCGGTGGTTGTCATTTTCAACGGACAACCATTTGGCGGTTTTTCGAGACGCCTTCCATGATGCAATTATTTTTTCACAACTTCTGCTGAGTATCTGCTAACCCAGTACCAGCTTGAATGTTGTCAGTATTCAAATCTTCAGGACTTTATAAGGATAAGGATACAATGTTTATAAGGAGAAGGATATAAAGTTTATAAGGATAAGGATATAAGGTTTATAAGGATAAGGTTTATAAGGATAAGGATATAAGGTTTATAAGGATAAGGATATAAGGTTTATAAGGAGTTTTGTTATAACGATTAATAAAATATATATTGTATTATGTAGGTCGTGGCCATAATCGCCAAATCAAAATAAATGATTTTAAGAAGTTATATTTGTCTTCACCGTCTTTAATAATAAGATTTATTTCCTTTTTGAAATAAATCCAATTATTTTAGCGATGGTTAATACTATGTCTCAGATCCACGCCATGGATTTGTGCGCGTAATGCCCTGCCATACATGACGTTATTGTTGTTAAATTTTGACGTCACAATATTTGTTACAGTTGGATTGAGAGGTGGGTGTTGTTTGTCTCTTAGCTTAAAAATCCCACCCTCCCATTCCCCTTATTTATAACATCAAGTATATCTATATATGATTTATATGCATTTGTCAAGTTAATCTATTTTGCCAGTGCATTTTTCTGTCGTAGTTTTCTGAATATTTTCAGGCAACCTTGAACTGTGTCCTGTGAAATGTGAGAGACATTGGTTTGGACAGTTACACTTGTGATAGAAATTCCATTCGTCACGACCTGCATATAAAGAGATGTGAAGGAGAGTCACTGCGGTTTTTCGAGACGCCTTCCATGATACAATTATTTTTTCACAACTTCTGCTGAGTATCTGCTAACCCAGTACCAGCTTGAATGTTGTCAGTATTCAAATCTTCAGGACTTTATAAGGATAAGGATACAATGTTTATAAGGAGAAGGATATAAAGTTTATAAGGATAAGGATATAAGGTTTATAAGGATAAGGTTTATAAGGATAAGGATATAAGGTTTATAAGGATAAGGATATAAGGTTTATAAGGAGTTATGTTATAACGATTAATAAAATATATATTGTATTATGTAGGTCGTGGCCACAATCGCCAAATCAAAATAAATGATTTTAAGAAGTTATATTTGTCTTCATCGTCTTTAATAATAGAAAATTTCTAGAAAATATTCTCTGAGTAAAAGTATATGAGGCTCAAGCTAAATAGCCTTCTGCCAGAAGAAAAAGTTCCTCAGAAATCATGCAGATTTATGAAGTTTTGAGTTGTTTTTTTTAATGGAATGTCGAAAAAAAAAATTAAAATTATTGAATTAGATATGTTATAAAAATTAAATCATAATAAATAGTTTTAATTTATTAATGAAAGAGGTTCTGCACAAACTTTTCCAAAAATCTGACGAGTGACATACCTTAACACACCTCTTTTAACAGAAAAACAAACCTTTTTTCTCTTTTTCGTTGGACAACAGTTTTTTCATCACTTCTGCAAAGATAAATACATGTATAATATGTTATCATTTTCATTCACATTGTCAAGTACTTGTGCATATAATGAACAAGAGCGTTCCTAGGAACATATGTGTCGCCTGCTTTGTAGCTTCATTAAAGATTTAAATCAATCTAGGAATTAACTATAAACATGTTAGTACATGCTATTGCCTGCAAAGAAAAACTGGCATCTGTAGATAGTATAACAATTCGATAGCATATCTGTCAGTCAAAGGAAGTATGGGTTTCAAATGTATAATGAAATTGAAATTATTCGAAATAACTATTATTATTTATCAAAACGTATTTCCAACAATCCCTCAAAAGAGACTTCAGTCAGTCTTTACTGTAATTTTCAGTCTACACGATCTAATTGTGGAATATGGATCCCGATGTATTTTCAAAGTATTTAAATATAAATTTGTACGGTAACCGAATATGATACAGTTTCAATGTACCGTATCATGAGCTAAACATGTTTCTAAAAGTCCTCCAAAAGACATTTAAGTTTTTCTGCAAGGTAATTCCTACGATCAATTGTGGAATACTGATCTAATTGCGAAGTATATAAATAACATTTTGTGTGCTAACTGTATATCTTACATTTTAAAGTACAGAAACATAATCTAATAAATATATATATTAATGCTAATTATGAAAATTCTGCCTCTAAAATTCAAAAGTCAGAAGCTAAACTTTACTGCCCGGGTATATTATAGCAAAGTAGATAAAAGGTGTAGATCAAGTGGATTATAATGCTGGTATTTTTCATAATACCTTATAACAAACAGTTTACAAGCTAAATAGCATTGACTTATCTCTCAAATGTCTAAACTATGCTGTATATCAGCACTGTGAACTTTAAAAAAAAGGCTCAAAAGGTCAAGTTTAGTAAGCACATTGTCAGTCACCATGGTAAACTACAAAAGTCACAGTGACAAGCAATATTTGTACAAAATATCAAATGCATATCTCTCGCAGTTCTCACTTTATGATAGACGAAAAGACTGACAGCTAGACAGACAAACAGACGCCATGTAAAGTGATCCTTTAGTGTCGCTCAGCTCTGCACGTGACACAAAAATAATGCCTTTGATAACAGCGATATCGTTGAATATTTATCTTTTTTGCACCAAAAATCAATGGTCAATGTTGACTATATTAGTATATAGAAAGGAGAGGAGGCAACTGAAAAGAGCATGGTCTAAACCTCTTAACCAAAAAAAAAAAAAACAGGCGGAGTGGAATGTATCAGAAATGAAAATCTTGCAAACACCTACGAAAGCTGGAAAAATGAAGAAGTAATTGTTTTTTCCCAGGAAATTTAGGATCAAAAACAAAGACTTTGAATCCAGTGAGGAAACATAAATTAGAACTAATTTAGCACTGCAAGGATTCGAGACGGATATTCCTGAATTTAAAAGTCAGTTTGAAAATTGTGATAAAGTTATGACAGAAGAAATACAAAAATGCAGTAATGGCAAAATGGAGGAAAAACTACTGCAATTATGGCTTAAAGATGTGTTAAGAGAGGAGGAGAAATCACAAAAAAATCTTGGAATCTAAAAACTTGTAAGATCAATACAAAGAAAACTTCGGCAATAAAATAACCAAATAAAACAAAACTGGAAAGCAGGCAAACCAAGAAAAGCCTCAGTAGAAAACCGAGAGACAACTACAGATTTACCAACAACTCTAGATCTAGATCAAAAAGACACCTCCAGAACGTCAGACATAATATGCATATGCCGTAAAAAATGGTTATCTCAGCGAATTTTCGAACAAAGAATACCAAAAAAACCCACGAGGATCGATCTCAAGAAATAAAAACAATTATGGCCCGACCAGGGGAAGATTCAATGATAAGAGAACCGGTCTTTATGGCGAAAGAACCACAAAATGGCGGTCATCAAAAATCAGCCATCACAAGATCATGAATTTAGAGAAACACGGAACTCAACTCAAAAATTCAACAACAGAAAATATGTTTTTGGACCACGCCACCCTCAAAGAACACGAATAACAAGAAACTTTTGGTTTCAAGAATCATTAAAAAATAAATCTACAGGTCCCATAAGTATTAATCTCTCAAGTAGAGATATAAATGACACCGAAAAACAAATATTATTACGGAGATTAAAATTTACATCAACAACAAACAGGGACAATGTGCATTTAATTGCTGATACCGATGAATGTTGTCGCAAATTACGTTCAAGAGAATATTTTAAAAATATTCTCCCTACGATGATGAATCCCTTGTTAGAAACCAAAAAAAGGATTTAGACCACCGATAAACAGAGAACGAGATTTAGAAGAATATATATCAAGTCTTTAAATCTTCTGCTCAGTCTAACTAAGAAGAAACAAGGACAAAAAGTAATATAGCTAAATCCCAACCAAATGCAATAAGGAATTTACGGAATGATTAATCTTAAATCATAAAAAAAGCTAATAAAGCAGACGCCGTTTTTATTATAGACAAACTTCATTATAAGAAATGGTACTGGACGAACTTCAGAACAGACTTTTTCTTAGAAAATTAATCGCTAACAAAGATCGTTACACAATGCTCAAACTTGAGAAATTAACTAAAAAACATGCCGACTATTTCACATAAAATAAAATTGATTTGTTAACACTCGTTGAGGTGTAATCTAGTAATTTTTACGGATTACCAAAAGTCCACAAATCTATAGAAAATTCAAGAAGCTATGAAAAATTCACGGCTAGGAACACTTTAAGTTCAAAGACAGTACCGTTGTCAGAAACCTTTAAAGTTAAGCACTTAAAATGGTTTGTTGTCACGAACATACAGGTAAGGATATAAAAAAATCCGTCCATTGTCATTCAAAACATACAACGGTTTGTATATAATGCCTAGAATTTTACGTTTTTGACAAATTTTATCATTAAATTTCAAGTTTGAGAAACAGATACAAAATTCAGGATTCCATACATATTATTAAAAGATGAAGAAAACTTCATCTTACATGTGTTAGGCAACTGACAGCCTCTTGTAGGCAACTTGCTTTAAGAAATTGCAATTTATATAAGGAAAAAGTCCCTTGTCAGTAAATGTTAAGTTTTTCTAGTCTGTTGTCATCCACACAAACCATTGAGCTGTGAGGTTTTTTTTTTCATCCTAACACCTACTGCAACACGGGACCTCGGTTTATAGGTCTCGTCCGAAGTGTGAAAATTAGGGACATCAATCAACCAAACTTGTAAGAGATTTATTAGGACCCGACACTCCAAACCACACTTTAAGTAGATATGTTTTTTGCATAGAGCAGATTAATATCTGATTTGAATTATGCAAGTAGTTGTAGAATGTTTCGGCTATTAAGAAGCCTCAAAGGGTGAAAATTAGCGACATCAATCAACCAAACTTGTAAGAGATTTATTAGGACCCGTGTGAAAATTAGCGACATCAATCAACCAAACTTGTAAGAGATTTATTAGGACCCGACACTCCAAACCACACTTCTAGTAGATATGATTTTCTGCATAGAGCAGATTAATATCTGATTTGAATTATGCAAGTAGTTGTAGAGTGTTTCGGCTATTAAGAAGCCTCATCGGGGGTCACGGACATAAATCATGGTGTTTGTTTTAGGTGAGACCGGATTATCTCGTCACCTATATTCTTGTGTTTGCTGTAAGCAATGATTGGTTGAGAATTAAATAAAGTTTTGCATTCTGGATTTCTAAGAATAGTGTTCCAATATTTTAGAATTCGTTTTTTCAGTCCTTTTACGCAAGGGTTAAATTTAGTAACCAGTACTGTAGGGTTACGTAATGACTGTTCTTTAGTCTTTTTGATGATGAGTTTTGATCGGTTTGTGTTGACCGTTTCCTTGATAATAGGATCAATTTCCGAAGTAGAGTAGCCTCGCTTTGATAAGTGCGTCCTGAAGTCATTAAGTGTTGCATGTAATATTTCAGGGTCAGTGGTGTTTCTTGCATGTCTAATGCATTCTTCTTTAATGAATCCTTTAAACACAGCTGGGCTATGAGCGCTCTGTCTGTGTAGATATTGAAAGTTATTTGTTGGTTTGATAAACGATTTGATATCAAGTTTGTTAAGATTTTGAAATTTCGGTCCCTTGTAAACTGTAGTATCAAGGAAGTTTACGGCAGAGGGAGAAATTTCAAATGTAAATCTTAGATGCTAGTGACAGTGATTGCCGATATTGAAGAATTCTTCTATCTCTGATTGCGTTCCATTGAATATTATGAAACCGTCATCACGGTATCTGCCGTGGAAGACAATTTTGCTGGCATGACGAAATTGTGCCATTAAATGCTGTGTGATTTCGTACAATCTGATGTCACAGATCTCTGGACTGGGGACTGCCCCCATACTTGCTCCAATTATTTGTTTGTAATATTTTCCATCAAACTCAAAGTAATTGTTTTCCAAGACGCATTTCAGTAAAAAGTTTAAATCCTCAGGGTTAGGATATGGAATGTCAAGTTGCGTTTTGTTGGCCTGTGTGTAAGCCTCATTCACTGAAGAAAGAATTCGAAGTTCGTTGAATTCCATGTTTGTGTACATGCTCGTCACATCATAAGTAATTAATAATGCGTTTGTTGACAATGTGAGGCCTTCGATTTTGGTGATGAAGTCCGTAGTGTCTTTGATATAAGTTGATTGTTTTTGTACAATGGGTACAAGAAAGTAATCGCAATATTGTCCTATTTTCCTCGTTGGCGTATCGCATTGCGAGATAATTGGTCTACCAGGTGGGAATTTCCTAATGCTGCACTGACCGTTTATTAGAGCATTGTAAATGTTTGCTGGTATTTTGTGGGTTTTCGGTAAGAGGTACAAATGCCCACATTTGAGTGAAGGTTTTTTGTCATTAAGAAATTTGTAAGTTTCTTTGTCCAGTGACCCATTTGAATGCATTGCGGCAAGTTTATTTTGAATGTTTTCATGCAGTTTGAGCATGTTGGGTTCAGATACTTGCCTATAGTGTTTAGATTGCA